GCCTCCTTTTTTGGGGTGGGGAGGCTGGGGATTGAAACAGGGCTTTGCACATGCTAGGCACTCTACCACTGAGCTACATTCCAAGCCACCAATGCCCTTTATTGCTTTCTCTTATCTGATTGCTCTGGTTAGGCCTTCTGGCCATATATTGAATAAAAGTGGTGGACATAAGGTTCAGCCCAGTGGTTCACACCTGTAATTTTACCTACTTGGGAAGGCAGAGATCAGGACAATCACAGTTTTAGGCCAGCCAGGGCAAACAGTTAGCAAGACCCAATCTCAACCAGTAAAAAGAGCTGGGCATGGTGGTGTGTGCCTGTCATCCCAGCTACACAGGAAGGGTAAATAGGAGGATCATGATTCAGGCCAGCCTGAGCATGAAAGTGAGACCCTATTTGATGAATACCTAAAGCCAAAAGGGCTGTGGGTGTGGCTCAAGAGATAAAGCACTTGTTTGACAAGCGCAAGACTCTGAGTTCAAACCCCAGTACTACAAAAAAAAAAAAAGGGGTGGAAATGAGTGTCATTATCTTAGTCCAGATCTTAGAATACTTATAACTTCTCCCTATTCAATATAATATTAACTGTGGGCTTATTATGAATGGCCCATATTATCTTGAGGTTTATTTGTCCAACATTTTTATCAGGAAGGAATGTTGAATTTTATGAAATTCCTCTCTGCATCTACTTAGCTGACTGTCTGGTTTTTTTCCTTCATTCTTTACATTTATTGATTTGCATCCTTGTATTCCTGGGATGAATTCCACTTGATCATGAATAATCTCTTTAATGTGCTTTTGGATTCGGTTTGGTAGGATTTTGTTGAGGAGTTTTGCATCTCTAGGTATCAAGGTTATGGTCCTGTTTTCTTTGTGTGTGTGTGTATGTTCTTATTTGAATTTTTGTCTGTTTGCTTTTTTTTTTGCAGTACTGGGGCTTGAACTCAGGGCCCACACCTTGAGCCACTCCACCAGCCCTTTTTTTTTCCAATGGGTTTTTTTCGAGATAGGCTCTCACAAACTATTTGCCCAGGCTGGCTTCAAACTGTGATCCTCCTGATCTCTGCCCCCTGAGTAGCTAAGATTACAGGCGAGAGACAACAGCGCCGGCTTCTTTGCTTCTTTTGAGACAGCATTTTGCTATATAACTCAGACTGGCCTCAAACTAGTGATCTTCCTGCCTCAGCCTCTGGAGTGCTGGGATTATAGCTATGTACCACCATCCCTGTTTTCCTTGTCTGACTTTATTTAGTGTCAGGATAAATATGGTCTCCAAGATTGTGTTTGGAAGAATTTCTTCCTTTATGCTGGGCATAGGATACATAGCAAGCCTGTGTCAAAAAAGAAAAAAAATGGGGGGTGGGGTTCCTTCCTCCTTTAATTTTTGGAATAGCTTAAGGAGAATTGGTATTATTTCTTCTTTAAATGTTTGGTAGGATTCACCAGTGAAGCCATATGGTCCTGGGCTTTATTTATTTATTTATTTATTTACTGGCAGTATTGGGGTTTGAACTCAGGGTTTCATGCTTGCTATGCAGGTACTCTACTGTTTAAGCTTTATTTTGATGCAAGGCATTTCATTACCGATTCTATCTTGTTACTTGTTTAGTGGCCTATTTCGGTTTTCTATTTCTTCATGATTCAGTCTTGGTTAGATACATGTGTCCAGGGATTTGTCCTAGATACTAGGTACAGTATTCTCAGTTGAATTTTTTCTCTTTAGTGCTGTGAAGATCTCTTGCCACACTCCCCTGGTCTGTAAGGTTCCTGCTATTAAGTCTGCTGTCGGGTGAAGTGGGATACCCCTATATACACTAATTTTTTTCTTGCAGCCTTGAGAATCTTCTCTATCTTTCATGTTTCAGAGCTTCACTCTAAGATGTCTT